AAGATGGGCAGTGATAGAGCAGTTCGAACTGGAGATTTCCGGGTCACTATTTTGATTACCTTAACCACTTGATCACCACCGCTCAAGCAAACGAAAACGGTAATAAATAATAATATGAAGAATGATGATAACAGCACTAAGAACACTCAATGTGTGCTGAGGTTATTCAAGAGCGAGAGTGGTGATCACACACAAATTGGTTAATGCCCTCAGTTCTGTTGACAGATTCAACAGATAACTCGGTTACACTGTCATCGTCACACTATACTGACCACTCGGTTAATCCCGACTGAGTCATTTCAATCTATCTGCCTCCACAGAGGGTCGCCACTAAAGGAGGCCACAGGTAACTTTTATACATCGCGGTGATAGCGATTGGACTAAATAAGCCCTTGAACTTTATAGGGATTTGGAAAAAATTGTTAGAACTTATGAAATACTTTGGCTGCTAGTCACAAATCTAGTAAAGTAACAAGCATGTAAAAAAAACGTTGGTAAATATCGCCACGTTGAGTAAGTGACTGTGATTTACTAATAAGGGCTCCTACACATATGCTCTCTCATGCTGTGTTCTTAGTCCCATTTGACCTAATCGTGTTGCACTAGGCTATTCATTGAAGCACCGAAATCAAGCTTGATTGTCACTCTGTCTTTTAATACAATCAACCGGTGTATTAGATCCGTTTTACTTTTCGCTTGTGAGGTCACTGCTTGATTGAATTTACTTTCAAATCGGGCTACAATCCTGTTCCGCATTGCAGAATCAAACCATTTACATTTGCGAACGTCCTGATTAATTTATTTTCATCCCCTTAACCTGAATGAGGTGCAGAATGGCGGGAACGATAAGCACCCAAGCACTAGGCTATGCGGCTTAAGTGTTTTAACTGAACGCTAGGGTCTGAATATGAGATTCAGAGCGACCCGGTGCTCTTTACTTTATTTTAATAGAGCTACTTTAGCAATTTAAATGGTTGTCTTTATGGTTCAGGCTGGAATAACCACGAAAGCAACACTTTTATTTCAGAAGAGCTAAAAGTTGAGGGTTCAAATTACCAGTATATATGATTACAAATTGAACATATCGATTTCAATTACGATTATTGACAAGGGAGTGCGCAGTTTTGGGGTGGAGCAAAAGATATCGCTTCAAAACTAGCTAACTTTCGTGAAGAGTCTTAGGTAGGTTGGTTATCTACAATTTTAAACACCCGTGGTATCCGTATCATAAAATAGCAGGTCACATTGTTAATTCGGATGAATAAACTACGTAACCAGATAATGAATTTCAAAAAAATGTGAGCATGTTTGCAGTGAATGGTGCAGTTTTCGACCGACAGTACCAGCTATAAATATGGGTAAGTTTGATTTTCAAACGACGCCGATTTATTGTTCCAACATAAGGTACAGATATATATTTCACTTAAATTTCCGTGCTTCCCAAAGTTGAAAAAAACTTAACTAACTGCAAGAAACCTGGGCGACTAGTTTCACAAACAAACATGGACCGGAGGTGGATAGTGACAGGGGTGAAAGGAGACATAATATTTCGGTCGGAATGCGAATGATTCTTTCAGTCAAACAACAGAAGTAGTGAGCGCCATAGTTACAAAGACACCGTCGAATCATAGGTAATCTGCAACCATAGTCCTGGGACTTGTAGCGGCGAATCACGAGGCCTCTATAAGGATAGTCGTTAGTTGAGTCGGACGGTAGTAGAACTGAGTACCGCTAAAGTTTGGTGGTGGTCTTATACTTTGAGACAAACATCTTTGTACAGTGATAAAGATGGGACAAGCCGAAAGTCGGAGAAAAATGTTTGAAAATAATACCATCCGTGTCTCACCAAACAGCATGGTGTTAAAGTAACTGCCAAGGCAAACCTTTTTGTCTAGCTTATCAGTAGATAAATGAAGTAGGTGAGACGTGGTATCGAAGTTGCATTCACTACTCTGTAAAACATTCCACACTAACTTCATTGTATTATCCTGGACCGTAGCGGCAGCGACAGCGAAAGAAACCTATTACATGCCGGAGATTAAGCGCATACAATACGAATAAGCAAGTCATAACCGCCGCGAGGACATAACAGTGTCTGATCTCGCACTATACTAAATAATCTTGGGGTGACATACACGTGTCTATTCTAACACGATGAAGCGGATAGTATTACACATTGTCTGAGTTAAACGCTTTGATAAATAAATCATAAGGTTAGCAAAAATGCTCCAGGTAAATCTGAGAAGCTATGATGATATCTCCCTTTGTACGCTGTGTGCTAGGAAGTTTATTAATTGTGGAGAGCAGCAAAACTTACAGTTAAAAACAAAAGGCGCGTTCTACTGTTTCAGAAAGTGATAACACCCTGAACAAAGTCACATCATAATCTCACTTTAACTGACAACAACAGTCCGCAGTATGTCTGTCATAGGGATTGGTTGAAGCACGCTGACTTCGCGTTAACTATGAAATCAGTTCAGATAGTTAATTATTCAGTAAATTAGCCCTGATAATTTCGTTGCGAACGACGCTCTAAATCGATCATCTGAACTTTTTTCGGATACCTTAGCGCCGTTTCGTGTAAAAGATCGAACAGTTAGGTTCTTCAGAACAGGGTACTGATACTGATTATTATAGAGCTTACATTGACAGTGTAGGACGATCTATATATCCTTAATTTCTTAAAAAAGATCATCCAAATGCATTCTAACTTCTAATTTTTCTTGGCAGATATGAACTTCGTGTTAGCGACGGTTCCCCTTTGTGGTAAGGAGCTACTAAAGTATGTATACAGATTAGAAGACGACTTAGAATACATAAACTTAGCAACCAACTAAACGACCCTCTGATTTCGAATGGTCATAAATATACGAGGAATAATCGGGTGGTCAACGAAATACGGATAAATACGAGAGTGGGTTGATACCCTACAACACTGGAGCATTGTTGCGATACGAACTGGAACACACCAGGCGTTCGATAAACCAGCAGAACTTTTGTAGGATACAGAAAATTTTTGGTATAACTTTGTGCTGTGTGTAATCTTGAAAGCGTGCAAACAAGCGTATCCACGAGAGGGAAAATATAAGCCAAGCTAATAATCTGATCGGACTGCGTGATTATCATACAAACGAACACATTGACAAAAAACAGCTGAGGAAATCACGTGGGCGCATTTTAGTAAGATCTAAAAAGTAGAGAAACTCGACTTTCAGACGCATCTTAAGTGGCACGTGCATCACTTTCAAACTCAGCTGAAACGCAACAGTCGAGGCGAAATACGAACGGCGCAAAGTTCAGGAGGGCCGATGGGCTGAATTCATCGGAGGCTTAGCAACAAACCATTTTATTTAAATGTAAAAATACCCTTGGATAACAGATCGATGGCTCATACGATTACACGAAACATCTATCCTGCAACAAGTGTCTCTCAATGCTCCGTTTTCCTTGCAAAGAAACCAAACACTAGGTACCTGCATATAACTCAATATTTCATATCGCAAACTGTTGCATGAAAGGCTACATACAGACAGATAATCCTTCTCAATATTGTATGTGATCATTCACAGGGCTACGCGATTTAACTACCACAACGAACCATGCCGTTTGCAGTCACATGCTGTGAACTGGAATTTATGCAAGTATACGACGGAAATCAAGTAAAGGAAATTCGCACGCTGAAATGATAAGTAGGTACAATTGTACGTTGTACGTTTCGAAACGTTGTCATCAAGGCCTTCTTTTGATTTTTCGTTAGTCGTGGCTACGACAAGCTAATTTCCTCAATAAACCTTCGAATGTTTACACACAATTAAGGGTGGTAAATGCAAGCAAAGACAGTGGTCCTAACTATCTATTTCCTATTGCACTCAAAGAGTGCGTTGATTTCCTTATGCACCCTCTAATTCTTGTTTGCTCAGTGGTAATTCCTGACATGTGGAAACCCGCCCGATTAACTCCCGTCCCAAAGCACGTACCTGGAAAATATCGCCCGAAAGTTGATAGGTCTAAGATGCCAGTGAAAGTCGAGAGAATTCCCCTTACCAAGATTGTTTCTGAAGCTGTGATAGATGACAGATACCAGTTTGCGTACATATACTCATGTTCCACACTGAATGGAAATTGAAAGACCGTGCGCCCGATATGCCTTGACTACAAGAATAACGTGGAAATCCAGGCATACACAAAATCACACGGGATTATTTCACTGATCATAGTCATTTCACACAGTATCATGATATATTTTCGGCGCCTCTCCCTTTAAACTCAGGGGTGCTACAATGTACCATGCTTTCCCCGCTTTTCTTTCCATTATTTCAGCGAACTTCATATTACTTTTACGAGTTTTGGATGTAACTATGCCGATGATGTAGTAATTGGTTGTAAACTTTCATGACCCAATGAATTCTCTAAGGTCCAATGGGGACTTCATGCAGTCGTTAGGTGGTTCACATCTCGGTCTCTAATTCACACCACTGCCGTAAGTCAGGACGTGATTTTTCGTGACAATCCGATGGGCCTTACCTGACTCTAAGAACCGGATATCTACTTGCTGACTATCACCCAATGTTAAGTTCATCCACTGAGTGTTGTAACTTATAACCTGTCACTTCCACGAGACGTTTTGTAAGACTGGAATATTCTTTTTTTCTCCGGAATAAATTACCTTCTGTACAACTTGAGTAAATTATTAGGCTTACGAAAGTTTGTATTATTCCCCACTGCTTACATTGATCAACATCTATTTTCCCTGGGCTCCGTGTGAAGGATTTCACTATTCCGAGATCTTTAAAGTATCCATCAAAATGTACTGCACTTCCCAATATATATATATATATATATATATATATCACGTTTGGGTCCAGACAAACAAATCCTTAGAAAGAAAAATACTCCATAACTTGAAAGTAGGCGGAATACTGCCAAGTTGCCCATGCCAAGGCAGTTATTCTTCCATACTTATCACGTCTCATTGTCGAAGCGCAGAAGGTAAACAATGAGCTTCGTGTGCGTTTGTTTGCTTGACAAACATTATACTCCACGAATTTTATTGCTAAACCCCGACTTTATTAGGAATATTTGCAGCAATAAAGAAGGAGAAAGCTGAAAATTCGCTCAACATGGAGGTATAAAGCTTACATTGACCTCAGAGAGCGATCATCAAGAACAGAGTACTGAAGAAGTTATCTTTCCCCCGATCGGTGATTGTTGTTGCTTGCTAAGTGGAGGGAAGATTTTGGAAACTATACAATCAGTGGTGACAATTATGGGATTCGAAGTAGCAGTAATCTAGGGAGCCCCTCTGGTCACCATATGAGTGTCCTTTGAGAAGTCTCCTTGGTTACGAACTCGCGCCAATCTTAACAGACGGAAGGAAAATGTTCATATCGGTTGCAATCAATGCACAAGACCGTCATTAACCAAACCATACATAAACTACATGACAGATACGGACCCAAAGTCAAATGAAAGTGAAGCGATATACAATAAAGTTTCGACTCATTGACCATTAGACTAAGGAAACTAGTCCGATGACATCTTTTCCTTTAATATACAAGAGATTTTGAAGTTTACGGGTATTTCGCGTGCAACACAGTTGAAAATGTAGATTCCTGAGAGTGCGGTATTTACATGAAATGAAAAAGGAATCTTATTGATTTTCACAACGTTAAGCCTTGCAGCTGTTCTGTCGACAGACTGAGCTTCATTTTCCGGACCACATAGTCATAAATAATAAAAAATTCAAGCACTGTTTTTCAACATTTCTAGATTTAACGGATAAATCACCCCAAGAACTCCTGTTTGTCGACACTCACTCCACATATATGTAAAATGCGCACCACGCTGCCTGTGAAATCTCTCGCTGTGCAGTATCTCTTGTCACTGGGCTCTTTTTTATTCGACAATGTCGCCATTATGGTTCAAGGGAAGCAACACAACCGATAGAGAGCTATTGACCGTTCCCAGGATGATGATTTCCTTCTCATCCATTTGTGTCGGTCGGTCTGGTTCACACAAACAATCAACTGTCTGTCAAACGAACGTACCTCGGTAAGCTGCCAACATAACACGAAGGCCACCGTGTGTGATGAAAATGATTATTGATTAATACCAACGAACGGAATAGTGAATTCGTCTACAACAGGTAAAGGACATGCGTGACAACCTGATGGACACGCTACAAATGGAAGTAATGGATCTCAGTTCGAACGGCAAAAATCGGAATCCACTGATGCGATCGACACGACTAGTACAGCTGGGTTGGTAACACAAAGATTTCATTCCGTAAAAAACTTAAGGTAGATGCAACCAGTTCCGATTCTCACAACGTAATCGGCTCCGTTCGAGTTTTACCATTCATTAACTATGCACTCCTGTGCACGGGTTTTGCTTCCTATCTTTTGGTTACTCATTGTGATGAAGGGATAACGAGATTAGAATCTTCAAACCAGTGAAAGAGTGAAAACAGAGAATTCATGAAAACTAAGGATTGCAAAAACACGGAGTACATGCATTGTTCGCAACGCTCGGTCATATCACTTGATGTATGTACGCACCTGCTATGCTCCTCCGGAAGTTCCTATTCAGGAAGCCCAACCTGGTCTATGTCAGCAAGTCTCCTATTCAGCATTTGCATACCCGCATTTCAGATCTTAGTTTGACCACCCTTTACTTTTTCCAACTCATCACCTGTCTCGGCAAACAACGCGCGCCATGGCAATCTATTTGGTGACATGCGTGACTCATACCCCAACCAGCATCATCTGCGGAGGGCTATCACTTGCTTCAGTGGGCGACAGTGATTACCGTAAACTCTGGCTAATCACGGCATTACTTGTCCGATTCCTTTACCAGACTCGTGCAATGCGGCGTAGACAGCGGTGCTCGAAT